TAGGTATTTGTATTTTGCTTTTACTCTTATTTTTTGTTTAACTTGTTCTTCTTATAAGGAAAGTAATACTTATTTTTTACTGCTTTCTTTTTATTCTTTACTTTCATTGTTAGGGAAGTAGTACTTCTTTATTTATTGATTTCATTGATATAATTTGTAACCACGATATTCCTCCACCACAAGTGAGGACATATTAATAAAATTTTGAAGGTACCGCCCTCCTTCCAAAACCAAAAAAAAAAGTTTATGTAACCATTTGGTCTGCCGTCTGCTTTAATTTTGTAACGTCACTAATTAAAGAAGTATGTGTTGGTACGTATTGCTTCATTCCCGCGAGGGAAATAGTGTAACCCAGAATCTTGTTTCGTTTGCTACTACTACTCCCAATTGCTTGTAGTTGAGTTGATTATATTCCAAATTTTATCACACCTGCTGTTTTGGGTGATATTATTGAATTAAGGCTTAGTTCGATAAAAAAAAAAAAACCCATCCTTTTCTTTTATTCATTTTTAAAATTGTTTTATTTGACAATCTATTTACAATGAGTGGGTGTATCCGACAGTGCCATTTTTCTATATCACGTTCACACTTGATCTATAGAGATCCCATAATTCTTTACAATAATTCTACTTATACAAAAAGAATTATAATAAAATTTACATATAGATAAGGTGTTAAGAAGAGAGTGAAAATTTTTTTTCTTTATTGATTGAAGAATTTTTTTTCTAATCATATTTTACCATATCATGTGTATATAAATCAATCTGTAAGTGGTGATGTAAATGTAACACAATCATTCTTGTAAACCCGAACTTCGAGATAAAATGCATGGCACCCTTTATACGAAATTTTAAATAATATATTCTAAGTAACAAACATCTAATAAAATTTATTAAATCAAACCCTAATTATATTTTCTAAAATAAGTAACAAAATTGAAAAAATAAAAAATTGCAAACTAAATTAAGCCCTTGCAAGGTGTAGATTACAATTTAGGTCAAAATCAATAATTAATTTTAATCACATATTTTATGGAACCTACAAATTCTCATTCATATATTTCAGAAAGTTTTATCAAAATTTATTAAAAATCTAACTTTTAACTACACCAAATAGGGGCTAAATAATCTCCATTAATATTCCCATCACATCTATTTATTGAATGGATGAAAAATGTTGAAAGGAAAATGTAAATAATAATCCCTCTCAACCCTATCAAATCTGCATAAAAAAAATTACAAAATATCATCGTGTATTGGGTTAGGCTAACTAGGGCTGGAATTAAGCTACTTGTACATTTCATTTGTACATCCTAGTTGACATTCAATAATGTGTTAAAATAGAGGATATTGATTTTTTTAAATGTTATTTAAATCAATGGCAAAACTGCTTGTCACATCATGGGATGTCAATCAAGATGTAAGTGTAGCAAAACTGAACGGGCTAAGGGGTCTATATACTAATCATCTATGAATCCAAATACCAAAACAAGGACTTTACTGCATTAATCTGAAGATAATACAATCAATCACTGTCCCAAAAAAAAACAAAAACACGCGTACAAATTAAACATTTTTAGGTTGCACCACTCATTCAAAAAACTTGAAATTAAATTCATTGCCCGCAGCTGAGGCATCCTATCAGACTGGTAACCATGAAAGATGTTCCTACATAACCGGGTTAATCCAAAATTATGGTAGATATCTGAAATCAAGTGCTTTTATTTGATGTCATGCTGATGTCTTTATTACCTGCCCTCTCGTCAGTGCAATCATCCTCATCATCCAGTAACTGGGTTGTAGGTTTTTTCTGCTTTCCGATCTCAGCAGCTTCTTTAGGGCCGATGAAGCTTGGTTGATTTGTCGAAGAAAGAAGCCTTGCCCACATCCTGTCAGTTGTGACAACCTTGTTTTGCCTTTCAGTAATTCGCTGGATATAAAAATTTCAGAGCATCAGAAAGTGGATCCAAATAGATATCCTGTGCTTAAACAATGGATACAAAGTTAAACAGCATAGAATTCTTGTCACAAATTTTCCATTTTTTCTTTCTGGCATCACGACTTACCTAATTTACTTAACATATGTGGCACGAAAAGCCCAGTAGTATCCAACTGGGAAGGAATTAATATCAGACAAGTATAGATTTTCCCTAGAAAGGGGCCTAAGTCGCCAAAGAGAATGAAACCTCATGATCTAGATTCTACTTATATTACAAATAAAACTTACATTAAAAGGAATAAATGTATGCCGGCCATTGACAAGCCCGGTAGTGAAACCCGTGTACCCTGCCATTGCTCCATGAACAGCACTTTGAGCAAGGAGAGTGCAGTATACACTGTCAGATGCATTACTTGGAATAGCACGAATCATATAAGTTGGATCTGCCAAACAATTTGGTCAGCGCCATTTTTACTTCACGGATAAAATAATGCGAGTGCGAGGGTACTGACCTATATATTTTAGTGTAAGGAGCATTTTAAGTTTGTTGGCAAAATGATCCTGTAAAAAGTGAAAAGTGAATTAACAAAGAAATCTGTCAACATGATGCTCCTTTCAATAAATTCACAGTTTTGTAACTTTGATCTGGATAAGAAGCAATCCACAAAGAACAAATTTCATTTTAGACAACAGTGGGCTTTGTTGTTTCAAACATGAGAAAACAGAAAAATGTGAAAGCAAGATGACTCATGGGACTCAAAACACATTGATGCCTATATCCATTTCATGCATACAGAAATGAGCATGTTATTCTTTTCAAAACAACTCAGAAAGGCCCGTTTTGTATGCCATTTTATAATCCCATGTTTTTGAAATGTTTTCTGGTAACCTTTTTCATGTTTTTTAAATCTTCCCCACGATAACATGTTACAAACAGCCATGAAATTCTATCTAGATCATGATCTGTACCTTGATTTTTTGAGAAATCCACAAACCAATGTCTTGAAGTAGCCTGTTCCCTGAAGCATCCTCTTCATTTTTGGCTGCAAGAAGCTCCTGTCCTGCTCCTTCGGCTATCACAATGACCATGTGCCCATTTTCTTTGAGACATCTCTCAATGTATTCAAAAAGTCCACCTTCTCCTTCAAGATAGAAGGGGGATTCCGGAATCAAACAGCAGTCAACATCTCGGCTAGCCAGAGTAGCATACATTGCAATAAATCCTGCACCAGTAATTCCAAGAAGGTTGGAGGAACATATTGAACAATCATACAACTAATTATCAAGCCAAAATGAGGGACAATCCATACTTTTCCAGATCTGCACAAGTTTCTTTGGTTTTTTACCATGTGAATATTGCTAGCTAAACCCGTTTTCTATAACAAGGAGTATGGGATAAGTTTCTCAGATGCTATATTGCTGGAATTGATGCAGAAATACTATGACCACTCCAAACTACACTTGAAATGCAAGTCTCTAATATAACAGTGTTCTGCAAATTACTGCCTAGTGTATTGCAGTGCAAGTAAATATATCTTACCACTATAGCGACCCATTAGCTTCACCACACCAATGCCATTCTCCGCACTTTCAGCTTCAACATGTGCAGCATTGATGGCACGTTGAGCCTCCTCTACAGCAGTATCAAAACCAAATGACTTGTCAATAACCTGATGACACAAGCCAGTGCAAAACTGAGGCTCTTCAGAAAGTGAAGGGAAAATAATTTCATTTGTAGAAAGCAGTATAAAATTAAAGGTAGTAAGAACTCCCAAATACTAATAGAAGGAAAATAATTCCACAAGACAGTTGTTAGTATGGTGGTCCGCAACAACCACGAGGTATGCTAGAAGATGAAATTATTACATATAAGTTCGCATAACTGACATGCCAATTTTGTTGGACAGCACTCATCTGTAAAATACAGTATTCATATCAAAGAAATTACTCTTATTGACACTAAATTATGATCTGTGGAACGATCAATGTGCAGAGCTAATAGCTATTCTTTCCCTTCAAATCAACTACTAGATCAACCACCAAGAAAAATTATTATAATTAGCACATGGAACGTGTGCAAAGAACAAGACCATCAAATATGCGAAGGATGACTGGTACCGGAATGTCATTGTCAATTGTCTTGGGGATACCAGCAACGACAACCTTTAGACCACGCTTTCTGATTTCCTGTACAACGAAAGAGATTATTAATATGGCTGTTCATCATAATAATGTTTCTCAGAAGTCGAGCATATACAGTTATGTACATCACCATATCAGGCCTAAGTATCTTTTTCCGAAAAGAGTCCCACAAGTTCCCCATATGGTAGCAACAGGAAGAAAAGATTCTCAATTTAAGTTAGCAGCAACGCATGCAAACTGCTGTCTTGAACTATCCAAAGCAGCCAAAAACAGCTAGGACTAAATTAGAAACTACATCAACTAATGAAATAATTGCACAAAACAGGTCAAACAATTGCTCTACTAGAAGCAGGATTTGAGAAAGTTGATTGCAGATCATGTCACCTAATACAAGAGGTTCAAAATGGTTATAATACAGAAAATCATGGATAAAAAATTGGAAACCTCCAACAGTTTCTTTCCAAAAATTGAAATTGATTCTATGTGTCAAAAAATTCCAGCTCTTTGGCACAACTATATGATGGTTGGACAAGAGAGTTCCGAAAAGCCAGCATAAAACTCCCCTTCATGGAAAAAAAAAAAAAGCTGATGAAAGGTTTATTTTCAATGCATCCTCAAGTCAGTAGCAGATGGTTTATTTCATTAATAAGGATACCTCATAGATTGCAGCAGCTCCTTTCTGAGTTCCATCTCCACCAATTATATAAACCTGAACACAATGATACTGTATCAGCGCCAACCTAAAGCTTATTAAATGCCAATGCAGTAGCACTATAAAAGAACAAATGACATCCAAAACAGTGTATTTTTGCAATATACGAGTAAAATCCTACACTTAACCTGATTAATTCCACGGTCCTGAATGCTGTCAACAATCTTTGTGGTATCATGGCCACCTCGAGATGTTCCCAGGATTGTCCCACCACGCTTGTGTATGTCATTAACAGTCTTTGGAGTTAAAGTAATGGTATTTTTTGAATAGAAACCCCTATAACCTCCCTAAGAGGAGATGCCAGCATTAAAGTATGATATGATAACAAAACTGTTCAAGTGGAATTTAAAAACTGCACAACACAATAATAAAAGCTTAATAAACAGCGGGGCAAAAAACTACATCAGCCGGTAAATAAGAAAACATGGGACAACAAGGTCTCACATCAATACCTATTCTTACCATTAATTTTCAAGAAAGTGACACATACAATAGATTTAAATAAACGGTCTGATGAATCCAGGGTATGAATTGTACATATATTTTATGCTTGAGTTAGACTTATTTACGAGAGTAGCCCTGACTAACTCCTCAGTCAGATACCACGATTTTTTCTATACCAAATAAAATTCCACGACTAAAAAAACTATATTAAGCTATGGAGCCAACATTATGTTTAATTGTTAGTTTTTATCAATTGTGTTCACAGTATTTGGACAACTTACATTTATATTAATTAGATAAATCAAAGAACTGTAACTTAAATTGAGGTTTCAATTGAAGTAACATATGCATGACTTACCACCTAAATGAGGGAATCATTTTGGATGTAAAGATATACAGTGCCATTTTTTTATCTACATTTGATAATTATCTTTTATATTTTGCAGTAGCCAACACCATTCTCTTGTTTTTAAGGGCTGTCACATTCATAACATTTTAATGATCACAACTCAACAAAAACAACATATGAATATGAGAAACATTGACCAACTGCATCGAATATGCTGTGAAAAGATATGGCACTTTCAGAAGCAGAGAGTGACAGCAATAGAAGAATTATCAACTCTAGATAATATGCAATATACAAATTCCAACACGAAAAGGAAAGAAAGGATATCACTCTAATAAATCAGTGGTGCAAGAACTTTTGGTTTCTGAAGCCAAATGTCAAATCTTCAATTTTGGTAATAAAAGCTAACATCAAAATTTTCTGAAGATATCAATTAGTTAACAATCACAACTTACATTAATTCCGAGGACTTTGTTGACACCATACATGCAATCAAGGCTATGTACAATTTCCCTGATCACTGTGTTTAGCCCAGGACACAAACCACCACATGTCACAAGACAAGCTTGCACCTCATCTGATGCAAAATATACCTGTGCAATACTGATGCCTTTCAACCAAATTGCACATTGTTGAATTCCCTTTAAGTGTAGAATTCAAGGGAAAGGAACTTGTACCTTTTGACGAGGTCCAGCTCGTCGAAAATGTACCCCTCTTGGAGTGTCCTTGTGAACAACAATCTGCAAAAAGATCAATAAATAATGTAATACTAATGAGTACAGTTAAACAAGTGGTGTAGAGGTACATGGGGTGTTTTTGTTTTCGTATGCCATGTGTTAGGAGGAAAAAAAGAGTACAATTGGTCTCTTTCATGTTAATTGTAAATGTTTGAGNTGTAATACTAATGAGTACAGTTAAAATTCACTGATAAGGTCCATGAAATTGCTTGTTCAAATTTTCACCAAGCCTGAATGGAGCTATCATGAATATCGTGGAACCATTGTATAGTTTAAGAACTGTAACCCCTGACTTGCTAGCTAGAATTATCAATTATAAAATATGCAGCATGGGCATACAACATCAAAAATATCACCGTCTAAAAGGTAAGAAACATCATTTGAACTTAGATACAGGAGAAAAAGTGATTATGCGCTCAGGGGCGGAGCCATGAAAAGACATTGAGGTGGGCTGAAA